GTTTTTCGAGCTGAAAATCACTAACATATTGAAATCAAGTGGGTGGGGACTGGAAAAGAGTGAGTTGCCATGGGAACAGAATTTTATATAACCGTAAACGTGTTTCCTGTAGAACTATTAGCCTACCAAGTTTCAATGATCTGTGTTGCAAATTGGCCAAGATAGCTCTATTTATATAATTGATATAATATTAGGTTGAGTGTATGACATCATCAGTCATCTCATTTGCATAATTTACACTTTTTTCAAACTTAAATATCGTCGGAACTAATGCAGATATTTGCAAACGGTAAACAGCGTTTTTATTCTTTCATGGTATTCTTTGTGATACACCTAAAAAATCAAGGGGTAAAAATTTGATCATAGTACCACTTTAAGTCAGTTAGACACTTCACACTGACATTAATTGGTTTTTCTCTTGTCTCAGTAGCAAAGAATTTATTGCATTATTCAGCTGACAGCTTTGGTTTGATCAACACAGGAAATTTAACTTATCCTCAAATATAAATATGAATAATTCTCCTGTCTCTCTTGGAGACAGGATTATCCTGTAGGTCTGCTGTGACAATCTAACCAATAAATGTTTGCCCTACATTGAAGTCTTGCTGTAAACAAAAAATCCTACCCATGTTTCTGTCAGCACACAAATGTTTTCCAATATACCATAAACTTAAATATGAGACGATTCTGGAGTATCCAGTACAAAAATCCTTCCAAAAATAAACCACCAAAACAAAAGGCCATTGATTTCATGTTCTTAAAAAATAAGGCATACTTCTTCTGATAACATCCCTTGTATTGTCTTCAATATCACTAAGTACTAAATGTTGTGAGACCCTTGATATCTATCTACCAGCATTGTCATTTTGTTACAACATATAATAACCTTACAGTAATCTTAAATTTGCAACATTATAACATTTTTCAGATTCAAAATCAGTTTCCAAATCTGATACCATTTTTTAATTGCACAATGCCCTCTGATCATATACCAGCCCTCCTAAAAGGAGGGTCTTTCTCAAAACTCCATTAAACTTTTCCAAACAAAAACAAGCCCACCCTGGCTTATTTCCAGAATTCTATTTTTAATCAGTAGCTTTAACATCACAGTAGTTGTAAACAGATGTTTAAAAGCACATGAGCCAGGTTGCTTGGGAAATTTGTTTTTCTTAGCTGCTGGTCAAGAAGTAGTTGCAGTGAAGGAAGATATGAAAAAAATTAACAAATTAAAATTAAATCCTTAATAAAATCAATACAAAATCAAAACAAAATTAAATATTACAAAAAATAACAAAGAAACAACATTACAGAATGCACCAAATATGCAGGACAAACTGTACAAAATAATGATGCCTACATTTTTAAAATCTGGAGCCTCTTGATGGTCAGAGTAAACTTGTGATGTCTCCACTGGCCAGCTGTGAGGTGGGGGTGGGGGTGGGGGTTCATAGTGCTCAGGTGGCGGATGGTGGTGCTGTGGTTCATGGTGCTGTGGGGGTGGGTGGTGATGCTGTGGCTCATGATGTTGTGGGGGTGGGTGATGGTGGTGTTCATGATGTTGTGGGGGAGGTTGATGGTGATGGTAATGGTGTTCATGGTGTTGAGGGGGAGGGTGATGGTGATGGTGTTCATGATGTTGTTGGGGAGGATGGTGGTGGTGGTGGTGGTGGTGGTGTTCATGGTATTGAGGTGGAGGGTGACATGGTGGTTCATACTGTGGGGGTGGTGGTGGAGATGGGTGGTGAAACTGTTGAGGAGGGGGTATGTAAGGTGCATGTTCAAAATGCTGCTCAGGAGGGAAATAAGGTGCAGGCTGGAAATGATCACTGGGTGAAGAGTCGTCACCTCGGTCACCATGGCATTGCTATGCAAGACAAGGAAAACATGTTCCTGAGTAAACCTGTTGGAAGCATGGTAATGATAACAGCCATGATATGTAAGAAGCAAGTATATGTAAGATGTGCAGCATGCATCAGGCGAGTGAGGTGCGTTGCATGTACACTGCTTTGATCTACCTCACTCTACAGCTAATTGCACTACAACACTTAAATTGACCAAGTGCTTGTAAGTAAAACAGAGACTGTCACAACAAGTCAAAAGTCTGCATAGTTCTTGCAGCACTGCTAGCAATAATGTATTCACCAAATGCCAACCAAAAGCAAGTAAACAGTCTGAGATTTATATCATCATGAAATGACCATGCAGTCTAATGTTTTGGCAAGGAATAACTGTTGAACAACCTTCTTGGCAAACATGTATGAAGAAATGTCTTGCCTTGTTTCATCTTTCTTTCATTTATCCTTAATGGAAGCCCCTCACCAAGTTAAGAGATACACCCCCTTAATATCCTGAATATTCTAGCCTTATTGTGACGACAAAAGGGAAACAAACTCCCCTCAAAAGCAACAAAATATTGCCTCTGGGAGATACTTCCGTACATTGATCATACTGTCACAGAGAACAATAACACCACCTGTTCTACAGTTGTGGATGCGCTTAAGACAACTTATCCACACATCTAGAACTTTAATAACTATCAGCGTATTTGAATCCAACAACTGTGCTACCTGAACTCCTCTGTCTACCAGTGTAAACTTGTATACTAAGTAATCATCCCAGAAATATTGATTAGATATATATAACCCCACTCTCCAAGCAAAGATCATATTCCAATTACGAGAGTCACCCAAAAGATAATTAAAACCTTCATACCAATGCATAGTCTCCCCTAAGCTTACAAAAGAAATGATACCATAAATCACCCCCCCCCCTCCTAGAAAGAAAAAACCCTAACAAGGACCCACACAAAGAACACCCTATAATATATAAAGAACCACATTTACTTTGGTAACATCTGAGGGACAATGCTAGCTGATCAAACATTCTCTAAGAGGTACTTGTGAGTAACTAGCTAGTATTAACATCAACAATCATTCAGTGATAATTGCATAAAACAATTGATAGAATGGAAAATTTCTGTCAAACAACAAACCAATACAACTACCAACACATGGCTCACCCAGAATTAACTCTACAAAGAAGATTAAAAGTGATCAATATTTAATAGCTGGTGTTAACAATATGATTTGCTTATCATTATCTATTTACTCACAATAAGTCAACATTAGTCCACACATTTTAGGCATTCCATTTTGAACAATACTAATGGATTGTTAAAATCTACAAACAGCACTGGCCTTGTATAACAGTCTCTACTTGAAGATGTAACAACTAATCAACCACAAAACAATAAATTACTTGAAGACAGAGCTAGCACTAGAAAGTTCATTACTTTACGCCTAGTTTTGGAAATGTGTCACACTGTGGTGTTACTTGTACAAGCTTGACTTAATTTTAAAATTCAATTAAAGAAGTATATTGTTAAGTAAACTTTTATGTCAAAAGCTGTCTAGCAATGTTGTGCCAACTAGCGAAACTAAAGGATAATATTAATTTTGCTATTATACAGAATGCCCATATTAAATAGCAACAAAACTAAGATGGTTATTCAATTAACCTCCTGGGTTCAAGGAGTTGAATATGCAAACCTACAAGGTTGACACAAACTTAAGAAGACACAATGTGAAGACACAATCTTATGACTAGTTGTCTAACCATTTCCTTCATAGGAACAAATCATGACATAATTAACAAGGACCAAAATATACACAAAAGTCCAATGTAGAGGTAGCAATAGATGGATTTGGCTGACATGTTTACATTGTACATCCTTGTTGCCACTCAATTCAGACCATGTTATCTGGGAGGTTACAATTGTGCAATTTGCCACATGCAACTGATTGCAAACAGAGCAGTTGTAACCTCCCAAATGACTCATCACATGATCTGAATTGGATGGCAAAAACAATGTAAACATGTTAGCCAAATCTGTCTATTTGCTTACAAGGAGGACAATTTTTTTCCTCAAGTACCCATAAAGATTATGTTATGGTTAAACCCACAGCATTCTTAAAGTATGTAATTTAAATGTATCATTTCTAGTATTGTCCCAAAGAAATATGCATTCAGTACGGAGAACCCTACCAGGAAATTGTAGAGTACAAAATTTTTAACAAGGAAAAGGAATCTTTCATCAAATAGTGGTTAAACAATTTTACCTACCCTCATTTCAGGCCGTACAAATGTGACATAGATATCCCACCACAGTTGTAGGAAGGTTCGCTCGTGAGGAATGTAGCCTTGGCTTCCTGATGGTGTGTATACTCTACCAGTTTCAGTGTTGTATGTGTAATGCCAAGGCTTAAGGGGACCGATGAAATGAACTATTTTCACATCTCTTCCAAACCTGCCAAGGAAAGTTCATTTGAAAATGTTAATCTCCTCTAACACAGCAAAAGTAGCCTACCGTAGTTCCTATTGATACTCTCTCCAGGGAATATGTGAGGCCGCTGGTCACAGGGTTTCCTTCAGGGCCGGCCACCAGGCTGACTGACCAGCTGTGAACAGCACTTTGCCCGGCTTCTTCATCGATATTCTAATGTATATGGAACTGTTCCTGTATTTTTTAGAAGACTGTCCAACAGTCAATTCTAAAACATTTGGCCTATTTTAAATCAGAGGAACCACTATTTTGCTCATTATAGTGTATGTAGTATTATTTCCCTGATATTGGATTTTCTGTCTGGATGTCACCTGGAGAGATCACATGGAGAGAGACGAAAGGTGTTGATTCTACAGGAAGCAGTCATTAACAAGCCATTCAAAATAGAATGTTCCTTACTGTTGAAAAGCTGGCGCATAAGTATAACTGGCATTTGAATTCATGTTGTAGATGAATGACAGGTGCCGGGATATGTCTGCTGTTCTCCAGTTACTGAAGAATGAATTTAGAAGGCCTTGATCTCCACCTGGCATTAATTAAAAACAAGAGAACAGTTTATTTAGAATCATTTCTGCTCCTCTACAGCTCAGAGAAGTGCTGTACATGTGGATAAACTGTGATAAATGCAAGTGGTCTGGTGAAAGAGGTTTTACATAGAATCTGCAGTGGGTTTACCAGACCCAATGTGACCTATTGGTTATGCAGCCCAGGCAAGGTACTCCTCAAAGTTTTTGGTGGGGTGTGCAGCCCTAACCTTGAAACCCTTACTATTTCAAACCAAAATCTGTGATTTTCCAGTACCTTATTTCAGCCTTGAGCCAAAAATGGATACCGCATTTCAGATTTCTAAAATTAGTACACACCTTTAATTCATAGGTGACTGCGGCTAACCAGAAATGGCTTCCATTTGTGTAGACACTGGAGAAAGGCTACAAATTTGCCATATTAATGCAGAAAAAAAATAGTTCCTTTAAACAAAATACCCAATGCCAAGCCAGAATTAAAAGCACACCCTATTTCAGACCTAAAAGGTCAAAATCTATGCCTATTTTCAGACCAAAACAGCTAATATTAAACGATACCCTTTGGGGCCGCACATACCTATATAGCCCACATAAGGGAGACCCACCCCTCCCGCCCCGGCCCTGAGCCAAGCAGTTCTTACCATCAAAACTACCATTCTGTACAGCATATTCCAAGAGAGCTTCATAGGTTGCTCTGGATGGCTCAAACACAAATACACCAGAATTAAAACAGTCAGGCCAACCAATGTCAGGCACTGCAGAGAGCTCATCTCTCTCAAAGAGTTCATCACAGTTCTGAATGACTAGAGTATCAGCATCTAGGAAAACACATTTTCTATACTGGGTCAAATTCCAGCAGTGGATTTTTGTGAATGTTATACCAAGCTCAGGTCTTGTTAAAAGTGCCAAATTTGTGGTATCACCGCTATCAAGTAAATCCACGATTTCCAAGTGATCCCATACTCGAGCAAGTCATTCTCTGAAACAAAAGGGTGAAATGAGTGAATATTGTTCTTAGAACTCAACCACACTGTGGATATCCACTTATCAAATACAAAGCAGCTTGGTAGAGGAAAGGGGAAGGGCCCTGACTGGAGAGGTAACAATTTTTTCTTTCTTAACCCCTTGAGTGCTCAACCATTGTGTAGGCTGTGTCCCACATCATTTTCATTGAAAATGGGTGTCTAGTAAAAGCCTTCACATGCCATAGGCTTTCTTGCTTCAACTATGGACATGTATGCATTTTCTGAACGGTCATAAAAGTGTCTCTCAGTGTGGTTAATTTTGCTGAGGCTGACATAACTTGATATCCATAAGATGTCACAATAATGGGAAATTAGCAGTCCCTCAAAAAACCTCCTAAGAATCTCAGGTGCCAATAAAAGTAAGTGTTGTTTCTGGTGTGCCAGGAGTTTGACTAAATCTCTTCAAATCTTGACATACTCAGCACATCATATAAGCACCTGAGGGCCAAAAATCATGATGCCCTGAGTCGTCATATAGGCACTCAAGCGGGTTAAAAAGAGGGGAACCTGAACATTTTATTATGATTTTCAGCCCTTCCTGTCTTTTTTTCTTTCAGTGGATTGGAGAGAGCAAGAGTGGCTGGCATCCTGAATCCACTTCAATTTTCACACTATAAAGTATGCTTCGTCTCCACCCACCAATTAACACAGGATCCTAATTGGTGGAAGACAAATATTGACAGTATTGCAAAATCATCAGATCAGAGTCAGCTCAGTTTTTGTTATTGAACATATTACGTACAGGTATTATTTTACCAAGTGATGATCCAAAACAAAATTTCAAGTAGATGTTGAAATCATGCAATCGTGGAACAGATTTTTCAATAACTTCATTCAACTTTGATTTAATTGCGCAAATGTCACAGCCACTATTACAACTCACTTTATAATTTGCATTGGCAGAAAAGTTTTTTGGCCACTAATAATGATAGACTTCGGATTTTGTGACCTTTCCGCTTTGAAAGGCAGAAAAGTATACTAAATTTAATTCTAAGTGACACACTGTTCACTTACAAAGAAAAATGCGTAAAAAATGCGATCCCCTATCGAGTAGTGAATGGGACAAATGTCTCCCTGCAGGCACATGGCAGACAATTTGTCTCAAATCCAGCGGGTGTAACTAATAAAATTCATCCGTTGCATAATACTCTGTTTGATTGAGAAGCAGTTAATTTGATAAAACTTTGGTATCACTGCATCGAAAGAGAAACGAAAATCTCAGAACAGTACTGTAACGAACTATCGACCTTTTATATATCACGCTTACACATAGACTCGAATGACGCAAAGTTAACGAAAATAATATTAAGTTTACGAGAAATACGAATACATTATCGGTACAAAACCTTGTATACTGTAGAAGAGCGATATTATAAGCTTGTAGCAATAGCAATTTTTCACCTGGTTGGTTCCAGAACCTCTTTTGCCACGAGAAGAACCAACTTTCTCGTGGTGTTGACACGTCGAAGGGAGTAGCCCAGAACAAGCGCGCCATTAGAGTAACTGTTGTTGGTGACCAGGCTGACGAAAGCCTCGTCCTCAACGACCTCTCCAGGCATTTAGAGGCTTCTTGACAAACAGGAAGAAGGAAGAAATATTGATAATTCGACGAGTTTCACTTCCTACAAATGACAACCGCACATGAACTTGCACATGACTCTACAATGATCTGTTTGGCCAACCGGCAGTAACCGATGCGCCTTTTTTCTGTCCACTCTAGAAAGTAACTTTCAGTCCCCCAGTAGGGAGGCAGCAGAACCATTTCTAAGCCGGAAAAAGACGAACGTGCTCCGAAGTATCTCCGGAGATTTCCGAGTTTTGCCGCTACCCTAGATAGTAATATCTTTGCAATTCTGAATCGAGGCTCGGTACTCGTAGCAACCAAACTTGACTTCATTGATGTTTGGCTTTGTGAAGTTGACTCTTTCACTTCTTCGGTTATTTTTTGCCGGCATTCTGCCAAAGTTAAGGGAACCCGGCTAGTGGAAAAGTAAAAGCTGGGATGTTTTTTTTTTATTCCAGGTAAACAGGCCAGCACCCATGTCGTATTCAGCACAGTTTAACACGGACTTTCTTGTACAATCAACTTGAATTCCTGAACTCAGCTGGCAAAAATGAGTGAAAACAACAATAATGAAAAGGTCCCAGGAGAAGAGCAAATACCACGACCGGATTCCAGCGCTTCTTCGGTAATAAGCCGAACTAGCTCTCCAGAACCATGTCCATTGAAAGACGACGTTTTCTGTGAAGAAACACAAGTTAGCCCAGAACAGCTCTCGGCCGACATGGCAGCCAGAGGTATTATTAACCCCAGAAATAAAATTTCAGGTTCCCCTCCACAATCTGGGATACGTGGAATGTTGATAGCTGCATGTGATATTGAAACAAATACTGTCGAAGAAACCCAAGCAACAAATAAATCTGATTTACAAGAAGAGGAAAAGACTGAAAATGAACAATTATTATTGGATAAGCATGCAGTGTCTGAAAGGGCAGCTGACAAAAACGAGACGGTACCACAAGAAATGTCTTTCTTTAACAAAGACTCATCTACAAGTAGGCCGTCATCTGTAAGTTCATCATCATCTGTAGGAGAAAGAACAAATAGGCGAGAGGTTTGTTTTCAAGATTCTGAAGAGGATCATTTGCTGCAAAAAGAGAGAAGTTTTATATCTCATGCTGAGAATACAACTATAGAGGTAGTGTCAATATCTACTCAAACAGAATGGAGTTGGCTGAAAGATATGGAGTTGTATCAAGAAATTTCACATAGATCTAAGCCTGACTGGGCTGAGAGAACAGACACAAAACTTTCTAGAGAAGTACCAAAATCACCATCAGGTAATGTTACGGTTTTGTGACACTGCCTGGATCAGCGCCGATAGTTTACTCCCGGGAGGGGGACTCCATATAAAAATGACAGGGGTGCTCATCGGAAATTTTGAAAAGAACCGTTTTAGGCCAAACACCCGAAAAAGTACCAAACCTGCTTTTTTTACCCCTAAAGGTACAACAAGCACCCCCCGTCTTTTTTTATATGGGAGTCTCCCTGCGCTGTTTACAGGCTCACTGTTTTTCTCTCTTTGACAGAAGAGAAAGCATTAACCCTCACAACTTGGTATAGTGCTGAGTACAGCAGTAGTCCTTAGTGTAAACAGGAGAGTCTCACACATTTTTCAGGAGCATGCTAGGAGTGGCATGGTGTAAAATGTTCAAAAGTGAAAAAAGAGGATGAAGCTCAGATGATTATTTTTTTGCTAGGCATGTCCATAGTGGTCTCCTGCATTGTAAGGCATGGGTCAGATACTTGTAGTAACAGAAAACAGCATAATATGCTTTGAGTTTTCATTCCTTCACTATTGTCTCCCACCTCCATTCAAGTTCTCAAGGAAATTATTATTCAATACAATAAACTTGTTCAATGATGCAGACCACACAGAATTCATTCCCGAAAATACTATCTTTTAGCAAACAGCCATGGCTCGGTCAAAAGACGAAGAAGGAAATCAGTACCAGGAAGAAGAGCTTCGGTAAGCAGTGATAAGGGACAGATGAAAGATGAAGACACTGTACCCCTACCAGATGTAGAGGAAGGAAATGAGGTGAAACAGAGCCACAATGGAGTAGAAGAAGGTGTGAAAATAAGGGTGTACACATGTACAAATTTTTATTTTTAATAATAAAATTAATGATAATCTACTCAAAACACATACAGATCATTGGGTTACCTGAAGCAAAGTTTAAGTCCAAACCTTCCTAATGATTAGATGAGCCATCTGCCTAAATAGAACCTGCAGTCTACTATAACTCCCTTTACTGTAGCACTTGATGACTTGGAGTATTGCTATACCCCTGGATAGGTTTTTCTTGGCTGTCAGAGGTTATACCCAGAATATTTGTCAGGTTCCTGGTAATGACCGTTCTCCAGTATCCACTAAAACGTTGGGTCTTGTAGACTCTGAATCCAGATGTCTGGGTTTAAGCACTGGCCTGGGTCATTGGGTGTTTTCCATTATGCCAAAGATTCCGAAAATTTTGGTTGGAACTCAAATGGAAAGGTCTGTTTTGGTTTCTTCCAACTAGAATATTTGGGATCACCTCTGGAGGTGGTCCACTTATTTCAGTCAGAATATTTCGACCGAAATTCGCTGTTCCATTTTTGACAAACCGGTTGAACTTTGTCCTAATTAGGGAATTTGGAAAAGGAATAAAAAAATGGCAAGAACCATTTGTATTTGTTGGCCCAGTTTAATTGTAAAATGTTGTTCCATTTTTCTTGGGTATTCCAACTGATCTCTGACCGGTCGGTTTGGCATAATGGAAAGCACCCATTGTGTTGTATTTTAGGCAAGAAACTAAACTCTGACAGTCCCTCCCTTAACCCAGCTGTTTAACTGCATATTGGCTAATTAAATGCTTGACTTCAGTACCCCATCCAGAGGGGAGTGGAAATGCTGTTGGTCACTGCAATCTTCAGAAACTGGAGTCAAGTGCATGCCTTGTCAGTCATCTATGCTTTAAGTCTGATTGAGAACTGGATCAGAGAAAGAACTAATTTCCTTGCTCCTTACATATTAGGAAGTACAGGAAGAAGCAAATCAAAGTCATCAGGCGGTGTCCCTAGATCTCGTCAATCTGTGGTGTCTTCATTACCGCGAACTCCCAAGGGAGAAGACATTCTATTTCGACCACCCACAGTTGAGCCGGACTCAGCTAGCAGTTCAGAAGAATATGAAGATTATGACCTTGAACAGGAATATCTGTTACCAAGTATTGGACCTCCAGCAATCCTTCAGTACATGAAAGAGTCACAGAACCCTCCGCTATCAAATGAAGAAGTTCAAGATAGACAAGAGCTTGCCAAAAATGAGATGTTAAAGATGAGCAGTTCTAGTGGACCATGCATGTTTTGTCAACAGGAAGTACTGCCATTTCCAACCTTGGATGAGTTGGAAAGACTTACTCCAGATCAGGTAATGAGTTGTTTTAATGAATTGAAAATGAGTTGCTTTCACTAAAAATGATAATAATCATTTCTTTTTTTTTTTTTAATTTTATTTATTATCAATAATGATGATGAAGGTAGCGAGGAACAATGAGAAAAATTTCAGCTGTCAGTATAGTTACATGAAACTTCTGTCCTGTTAAGAGATTATTGATCACTTCTAAACTTTTCTTGGCCAGTCTTTGTAACGGATAGTCAAGACTCAGTGTATACCTTGAATGACTGGTTTCATGTTGTCGTTGTTGTTCAATGTTGATTATTTTTATTTCTCAGTCACGACAGGTCACTATAAAACAGCAATTGCTGGACTTCTAAACAAGATTGTTAAAATTGACTTCTACTTAATCTTTTCTTCAGCTTTACTGCTGTCCTCAATATGAACGCTTGATAAAATTTGAGTTAGCGCAGAGAACAGACAAAGCTCATTTGGTGGACGAAATGATTGATATAAAGCCCCACCCACCCTATGGAACCAAAGCTGCGAGAAGAGCTGCAAAGGAAAGAGCAGCAGAACGAGCAAGGGAACGGGAAATGGAGAGACAAAGGGCAGCTGGAGCTAACCCAACCAATTTCTACGCATGTAAGTACCACAGAACTGACCCCACTCAGTTTTAAGTTAATGTTGTATTCAAAGACCTTTGATTTGAGCCATGAGGACTATGATTATAAGAGCTTCGTGTCATTTACATCTTAGGCTGCAAAGTTCTGTTTGATTTGTTATTAATTTTGCCCTTACATTTTTTCAGTGTGAAGTTTTCTCAATGCAAAGTCATATCCAAATCTAAGTTTAACCCTTTTCAGCGTAAGCAAAATCCTGAAAATAGAAACCTTTTGAACAAAATATTTATTGACCCCCCCCCAAAAAAAAA